GCAAGGGAGGCTGTGAAATAAAGCTTTTTAGCTGGGCATGTTATTACTTCAAACAAAACAGGTCAAGGTTCTCTTATTAAAGAAGGGAAGGGGCGCCTGGGTGGCGCAGTCGGTTGAGCGTCCGACTTCAGCCAGGTCACGATCTCGCGGTCCGGGAGTTCGAGCCCCGCGTCGGGCTCTGGGCTGATGGCTCAGAGCCTGGAGCCTGTTTCTGATTCTGTGTCTCCCTCTCTCTCTGCCCCTCCCCCGTTCATGCTCTGTCTCTCTCTGTCCCAAAAATAAATAAACATTGAAAAAAAAAATTAAAAAAAAAAAATAAATAAATAAAGAAGGGAAAATTGTTGGATAGGCAACTAAAAGTATTGGCTTTTTTTTTTCAATTAAAATAATTAAGACATTACAAGTAAATAATTTAACCTGACATATAGTAATCAGTTAATAAATGTTAGCTTTAATCTAAAGAGGCAGTTGCTTACCAGTTAGGAGTATGGTGTTGAATCATCACGTAGTTCTGGTTTCTAGACCCTACTTTGCCTCTTGCTGGTGCATGACTTCAGTCTTATTTTTGCCTGCATTGCTCTTCTTACATTGCTTTGTAAGATCAATAATACCTAACATATTAGATGAAAAACCGAGATACAAACATAGTACTTGGCACACAGAATAAACATTCAGTAGATGTTAGCGCTCGTGATGGTAATAATGAGGTAATGTCCATGAAGACTGGGCCATTTTAGTGTTTCCTCGGCCTTAAATGAGTAAATTTTTTTTCTTGCAAATATGTGTCACCACCTGGTTGATCAATGTATTCAGCAAATGTTTTTTGAACTTCTCTTATGTGCCGGGTACTGTTCCGGATGCTAGGGATACAGCAGTGAAGCAGACAGAAAATCCCTGCTTTTATGGAGTTAATAATCCAGTGTGACAAAGGATAAAAGTAAAGCTGAGAAAGGGGTTGGAGATTCCTGGGGATAAAGGTGAGTTTTAAATAGGTCAGGGAAAGCCTCACCGAGACGATGCCATTTGAGAAAAGACCTGAAGGAGGTGACGAAGTATCTTCTGCAGGAAGCGTGTTTGAAGCAGAGGAAGCAGAGGGAGCAGAGGCAGTGAAGGCCCTGAAGTGGAATGGAAGCCTGCTGATGGCGCTAAGGGCTAGGAGGCAGGAGCGGCTGGAGCAGAGGGACAGGGTGTGGAGGCAGATGGGAAGAGATCAGAAGAGTAAGGTGGTAGGGCTCTGTGGTCCTGACCGTAAGATGGGGTGACGCCTCGTAAGTCATCTGGGCACCCGACTTTTGCGTTGAGGGAGGTTGAAAACTGTTGCGGGGTTTTGAGCCAGAGGAGTACTGGGACTGTCTTTTCAGAGGATAACTCAGGCTGGTATGTGGAGGGTAGTTTTGCAAGGGCACAGGGTGGAAGGAGAGTTTATCCAGTGGAGAGAGGTAGTGACGGAGGTGGTGAGAAGTCGTCAGATGCTGGATAATAACATGTTTTGGAGTTAGAGAGTTGCCATTGGATTAGATGTGAAAAGATTTGAAGATTTTTGGCTGGAGCATCCGGAAGGATGGAGTTACCATCCGTTGAGATGAGAGATTACCAGAGCGAACGGGGGACAGAGTGATGATTCATGTCAGAACCATCAGGCTGTGTGAATAATTTCTCAAAGCATATGGCAGTGTGTCTTTATTTTCATCTTCGTATGGGGAGAAGAGCATGATTTTTATGATGAGGACTATTCATACAGCTGTTTCAACGGTTTTAGGAGCTTTAATTTTCAACATGACACTGACAAGAGAAGAAGGTTTACAAAATTGTAATTTCCCATATTTTCCTTGGTTTAGGTGATGGTGCCTTAATCATCTTTCACAATGAAGAGTCTGGGCTGGCTCTTCAGTGAATGCAAAACCTTGCTAAAGAACACTTAAGATCTTTAGAATATGTACCTGTTACAATGATGGATGCCCAAAATTTGGAGGAAATTATCTTCAGCTGATTTGGTTCATTTATTGTTTTCCTCACCGGAATAATACCCATTTTTTACTTTCTGTCCTGAATTTCTGGGTCTTATAAAGTGGCCAGAGACTAAAAAAAATTTTAGTAACCCCATGCCTTTGGGCATCTCCTTTTCTGTCTCAAGAGACGAAGTTACGCAGTTTGAAGAATTTCAGGAGAAAGCTCATTGATATTTTTGGGTATTAATCCGTTCTGATATGCACTGCATATTAACACTGGAGTTTAAGAGCTCACTGGGAGAGGACAGAATGATGGAAGAGCTGGAGATACAGAGAAGGGTGCATGGATCAGCAGTGTAAACTCGTGAACGTCTGAATGAGGATGTTCTCTTGGAAACTGTTTTACATTTTCCATCGTATTATTCTCCGTAGTAGTCCAGTGCTTAGTAGAGGGCGTTAGAGCAGTAGCTTTGACCTTTTTCACTAAACCACTCCTAAGAGATACATTTTACAATTTGCATGTGTGTTTATACTGAAGTAAAAGTTTTGCAAAATAACATTTACTTCTGCTATGTGCAATGCATACTGATGTTTTCTGTTTGACTCGATTAACTGTAAGAAAAGTGATGGTTGAAAGTCTGTAAATTGACGTGTACTTTGAAAAATTCCTCATAAAGGGACATGCTTTAAAGAGACGAGTATTTTTAAAATTTGTATCTCTAATCCTCTGTTTTTAAAGTCCTGCAAAGAATTGGTGAATACTTTAAATGATTATAAAGACATTTTAAAGATAGTCTTCCCTATCTTCTTATTTACGTTATTATTTTTTAATTTTTTAAAAATATTTTATTTATCCTTGAGAGAGCGTGAGCAGGGGAGGGGCCAGAGAGAGGGGGACAGAGGATTTGAAGAAGACTGTGCTGACGGCAGTGGGCCGGATGCGGTGCTCGAACCCGCAAACTGTGAAATCATGACTTGAGCTGAAGTCGGATGCTCAACCAACGGAGCCACCCAGGCGCGCTCTTATTTACATTATTAATAGTTATTTTCTGTGAAGTAAAGGTTTTCCTAAAAGAAGATAGAACATCATTGGCAATTCTGAAATAGGGGTGTTAGTATTGAGTTTTTACTGTATTAGCCATAATCCTTAATGTTAGAACTTTAAAATATTTTTTGGTTGCTCATTACTGTTTTGGTATTTTGGGGGGTGGGGGGGAATATGAAGGTCAACGAAAGCGATCGTTAACACGGAAGAACCGGAGCCCGCGAATCTCTTTGTATCATCAGATGTGGGAAGTGCCACTTGTCTTTTAAGGCCATTTGTTAAATCACACCAGAATTTAATATCTTGCTTCTAGCAAGATTTATTAAATGAGTGATTCTTTGTGTAAAAGAAAGGTGCGTTAGTATATAGACAATTGTGATTGATAATACCTAGGTTTAGTGTTTTATTGTTAGTGAAATTCTATAGTTAATAATGACTAGGGATTAATAACAACCAAATTCCCCAAATTCCTATGTCTGTATTTTTAACCCCAGCATGGTTTTGGTTTACGTAGGACATGCCATTAGTATGTTTAAAGCTAGTGTTTTAGGGGCGCCTGGGTGGCTCAGTTGGTTAAGCGTCCGACTTCGGCTCAGGACATGATCTTGCAGTCTGCGAGTTCGAGCCCCGTGTCAGGCTCTGTGCTGACAGCTCAGAGTCCGGAGCCTGCTTCAGATTCTGTGTCTCCCTCTCTCTCTGCCGCTCCCCTGCTCATGCTCTGTCTCTCTCTGTCTCAAAAATAAATAAAAACACTTAAAAAAAATTTTTTTAAAAGCTAGTGTTTTAGATTTTTTATATATAAGATAAATGATCAATGTTTGATTATACAGGGGAGGAGGAACTGGTTTGAGAGTTAAAAAAAAAATACCATTCAGTAGCCACTTGCAAAAATTAAAATGATAAAGCATTAGGGAATTCATTTACATATTAGAAGACATCTGTTCTCTAGGACCAAAAGTACCCTGTAGAGACCGCATTGTGTCTTCTGTGACTTAAGAATGCCTCTCATCTTAGCCTGATGGATAACGGGACCTGTGTGACTAGCTTCCTTCCTCTGGGGCTTCCCAGAGTGGGGCAGGGGCCTTTCACTGAAGGCAAGAGAGTTGTTAAGTTTTCTTTAGGGATCCCACGAAGAAAGAGTTTGGAAAGGAAAAGGATGGGAGGGAGAGAAAAGTTAATGGCAGACACTGCTGTTCTGCCTCATGAAGTTTTGGGGTGATGGGTTTGTGGGGGGTGGAGCCGACGGCCGAGAAAGAATTCTTGAAGCTATCTTCGGTGCAAAAAGGTGATTTTTATGAAAGCATGGGGACAGGACCCATGGGCAGGAAGAGCTGCGCTCCAAGTGTGAGGGGCGACCGTTTTATGGAGTCAGAGACAAAGTCAACAGAGTTTCCAGAGAGACTTTCACGTGCTAAAGACTTACTGGAGGCCTAGCTGTGTTGTCAGGCCAAGGTTGTTTTTCCCTCTAGCGGAGCATTAACCGAAAGACAGTAGGGCGTTCCTGGACTTCAGGCTATGATGGAATTGCCTTTTTCTGGTAAACTGGGGGAGACTCTTACCAGTTTAACCATTTGTTTTTGGTCCTTTCTCCTTTTGGGGTAGCCTGCAGTGTCCAAGGAATATCATATACATGTCCCACCTGGAGCAGAGGGCGGTGGGGGGGGGGGGCGTGCTGTTAGCCTGTACTTTGCCCTCACCTTGCCCCACCCTCCGTCATGCCTCATTCTGCCCCACACTCCTGTGCAGAGCGGAGGGCGAACTGCAAACTGCAAGCTATTTCAATGGTAGCCTATTGGATCATTTGTATCAAGCAGTAAGTGAGTGTTCTTAAACTATTGTCGAAATAATTCAGGTACACTATTGGATGCCATTGAATGGGAAATGTGTTCTTAAATACTAGATTTTATTTTGAATTTTGTATGACATGAGCTTTGTGTAGAGTTGTTGCTTCATTATAATTCTGAGTTGTGGGGTGCCTGGGTGACTCAGTTGGTTAAGCGCCCTACTCTTGATTTCAGCTCAGGTCATGGTGTCATGGATCTTGAGATTGAGCCGCACTTGGGCCTCTGCTCTCAGCACAGAGCTTGCCTAAAATTCATTCTTTCTCTTTCTCTCTCCCTCCTTCCCTCCCTCTATCTCTCTCTCTCTCTCCCCCCCTCCCTGCCCCTCCCCCCTCTCAAAATAAATTTTGAAAAAAAAATTTTTTTAATCATCATGATTTGGGTTTATCCATGTCCATATTGACTATGGTTATATATGCCTGGCTTTGGTCTGGAACTTTCAAATGGATTTAAATGTAACAGATTTTGTTGAGTTATATAATTATATGTAAATTGTCTTTAAATTTTAATGTCTGTAGCACATTTATACTCTTTGAAATTTGATGTCATACTTGAAGAGATTTTTTTTAGTAACAGCTTTATTGAGATATAATTCATATACTATGAACTTTGCCAATTTAAAGTGAACAATTCAGTGCATTCACAAAATTGTGCATCCATCACCACTGTCTAATTCCAGAACATTTTCATAGCTTCAGAAGCACCCTGTCCATTAGCGGCATTCCTCATTTTCCCCTAGTCCCCATTTCCCCTCTAGTCTCTGGCATCTTCTAATCTACCTCTGCATCTATGGATTTGCCTATTCTGGACAGTCTGTATAAGTGGAATCATACCATATATGGCCTTTTGTGTCTGGCATATTTACTTACCAAGTTTTCAAGGTTCATCCCTGTTGTAGCAGGTATCAGTACTCCCATTTCTTTTTATTGTTGACCAGTATTCCATTGTATGGATATACCACATTTTCCTATTCTGTTCTGATGGACATTTGGATTGTTCCCACTTTGGGGCTCCCATGAGTAATAGTGCAGTGAACGTCTGTGTGAGAGTTTGTATGTGTACATGTTTTTGTTTTCTTGCGTATACACGTAGGAGCTGAAGTGCTGGATTGCATAGTAACTCTGTGGTTAACATTTTGAGGAACTGCCAGACTTTATTTTTTTATTTTTTTACTTTTTTAACGTTTATTTATTTTTGAGAGAGAGAGAGAGAGACCGAGTGCAAGCGGGGGAGGAGCAGAGAGAGGGAGACACAGAATCTGAAGCAGGCTCCAGGCTCCGAGCTGTCAGCACAGAGCCTGATGCAGGGCTCAAACCCATGGACCGTGAGATCACGACCTGAGCTGAAGTCAGATGCTTAACCGACTGAGCCACTCAGGCACCACCCCTCCCCCACCCCTGCTTTTTAAAAAGTTTATTTATTTATTTTGAGGGAGGGGCAGAGAGAGAGAATACCAGGCAGGCTCTGCACTGTTAGCACAGAGCCTGATGGGGGGGGGGGGGGGGGGCCCCGTGCGACAAATGCCTAAACAAGCTGGTCAGAGAGGAGGGGGGGGGGGGGGGGCTCGAACTCACAAACTGCCAGATCATGACCTGAGCCCAAATCAAGATGCTTAACTGACTGGGCCACCCAGGAACCCCACCAGACTCTTTTCTAAGGTGGGAACGTCATTGTATAGTCCCACCCACAGTGTCGGAGGGTTCCAGGTTCTCCACATCCTTTGCAGCACTTCTTACAGTCTGTCTTTTTTATTGCAGCCATCCTAGTGGGTGTGAAGTGTCATCTTACTATGGTTTTGTGAAGAGATTTTTCAAATCGAAAACTTTGTGTATTAGAAAGGGTTATCTATTGTACATTGTATGTCTTTATTAAAGTAAATATTGGAGGGAATATGTAAGAATAATAAATAATGCAATTGAAATCACTTTAACACTGAAATAAATGATGATTATAAGAAGTAAATTTAAATTACTGTGGTGCCCGATCCTGACTTTTTTTATATATTTCACCATATAAACAAAGGCATTCGACCCCATAAACAAAGGCAGCTCTCAATTCGTGTTTAAGATGGTCTTTCTTTGCCGTGTTCTGATGTTCATGTAAGTTGACTTGTAATTTGAAAGTGATTGCAAAATTACCAAGCTTTTTTTTCTTTACTAGAAAGAAATTTCTGAAATTTCTTTCCTAGAAATCCAGAAATCTTCTGGAATATCTGAATATTTTAAGATAATAAAAATGGAAATGATTTCTTCTGGTAATATACATAATAATATGACTCGTAAATTGGGGAAAATGGACATTCAAGAACAGAATACTGTGTATTATTTTGTCTTTTGCTGTCTTTTCACTCTGTCTCTGTTAGCTACTCTTAATAGCTTCTATGGATCCTTTCAGAAAACTTTAATACGTATATATCCTTTTGTGGGGTGTTTTGCTCTTTGCTTTTTTCCACTTAGAAATTTAAGTTTTAAAGCCCCAGATGTTAAATTGCCTTCTACTTCTCTTAAATGATCAGATAATTAGCTTTTTTACAGGCTGTTATAGGATCTTATTAAAGTAAATATCTCATTCTCTAAAGTGCATGCTCTTCATGAAAATGTCTAGGATATTGAAAGCATGTTGCGTTTTACGTGAAGCATTCTGCCCAAAGTTGCTTTTTCTTAATATAATTACTGCATAGTACATGGACTCATGTCTCTCCTGCCAACTTTTTGATAAAATCACTATTTGGGAAGAGGATGAGACGAAGGAGAGGAAAGGGGGAAGAATTTAATGATTGCTCATTTTTCCTTTTTTAAGTATTTACAGTTCATCTCTATTCAGGGCTGAGTGTTTGTGCAGGAGAATGTTTAGTCTGTGGTCATATCAGCGATTAAAATGGTAAATCCAAAACCTATTTTAATGGAATGGGTATAGATGTGGGAGTTGGTGGGGATCATTCTTCCTCATGTGTTTTGGTTAAGACTTAAGTACCTTATAGACATAGTAAACCTGCCCTATGCCAAATACTTGAGGAGACACGGTAATGTAACAGTTTAAACATCCTACAAGAAGATAAAGGGCAAGGAAATGAACAATAGAGACATTTATTGGGCATCTATATGTCCCAGGCACATAGTCAGGAAATGAAGACTTACTCTCCTGACAGCAGTGGGGCTGAAGTTTGAATCTAAGAATTTTTTCAGTTAGCTGGGCTGTGAGTTGGACTTTGAAAGGAGGCACAAGTATGTGTTAATATGTAGAAAGCAAAGTGAAGGACTTTTATAGAGGCATGGAGATGGGGATAATTAAATTTCATCTGGGGCACAGAAAAACAGCTTGTTCAGTTATCAAGTGGTACAGTATTAAGTAGCTGCTGTGGTTTAGTGATTTGATGAATGACATTGTGTGAATGGTGTTTGAAGATTATCTTATTAATAAGCCTAGGCATATGTATATATATTTTAACAATCCAGTAAACTTACTCAGTTTCGTAGTTATATGTGCACTGTACTTATTTGTTATAAGTGGAGTCATAAAATATGTAACTTTTTGAAAGTGGCTTTTTTTACTCAGCGTAATGCTCTTGAGGTTCATCCATGTAATGTGTGTATTAATAACTTGTTCATATTTATTGCTGAGTAGTATTTCTCTCTATGGGTGTACCATAGTTTGTTTAACCATTCACCTGTGGAAGGATATTTGGGTAGTTTCCAGTTTGAGGCTATTATGAATAAAGCTGCTATGAACGTTTATATGTAGGTTTCTGTGTGAACATCTGTTTTTATTTCTGTGAGATAAATACCCAAGCGTGAAAATGCTGAGTTGTACAAGTCCACTTTCAGTTTTAAAAGAAACGGCCAAACTATCCTCCAGAATGACTGTACCATGTTTTTTTTTTTTTTTGTATTAATCATTAGCAATGTAGGAATGATCCAGTTTCATCACGTCTTCACCAGCATTTACTGTTATCACTTTATTTGTTTTATTTTTTTTAATGTTTATTTATTTTGAGAGAGCGAGCACGAACAGGGGAGGGGCAGAGAGAGATGGAGAGAAAGAAATCCCAAGCAGGCTCCGTGCTGTCAGCACAGAGCCCGATGTGGGGCTTGATCTCACAAACTGAGATCACGACCTGAGCCAAAATCAAGAGTCAAACACTTAATCGACCGAGCCACCTAGGCACCTTGGTTAATACTACTACTAATATTATTAATAATAATAGTGATAATATCAATAATAATAAAGTGATTAATCACTTTAAAAAACATTTTTGTTAAGCCATTCTGATAGCTTATCCATCTCCAACGAATTGCTTTTGCACCTTTGTCAGAAATCAGTGGGGCTTCAAATGTCTATCGGTGGATGAATGAAGATGTGGTGTATATACACAATGGAATACCACTTGGCAGTGAGAAAGAATGAAATCTTGCCATTTGCAACTACGTGGATGGAACTGGAGGGTATTATGCTAAGTGAAATTAATCAGTTAAAGACAAACTTCATATGACTTCACTCATATGAGGACTTTAAGAGACAAAACAGATGAACATAAGGGAAGGGAAACAAAAATAATATAAAAACAGGGAGGGGGACAAAACAGAAGAGACTCTTAAATATAGAGAACAAACAGGGTTACTAGAGGGGTTGTGGGAGGGGGGATGGGCTAAATGAGTAAGGGGCGTTAAGGAATCTACTCCTGAAATCACTGTTGCACTATATGCTAACTAATTTGGAGGTGAATTAAAAAAAAAAAATCAGCAGGGCTTATTTGTGTAAATCTATTTCTTGGTTCTTTGTTCTATTGTGTGTATTTTCAGCGTACAGATCCTCTTCATATTTTGTTGGATTTATACCATTTCATTCATACAGTATTTCATTTTGGGGGAACAGGTTTCCACTTATTTGTTGTTCACATATGGAAGTGGGGTTGGTTTCTTGTGTTGATTTTTTTTTTTTTTTTTTTTTTTTTTTGGCAACCTTGCTAAACTGTCTTACAAGTTCTAGGAGCTTCTAGATTTCTTGGGGTTTTCTTTATAGACAATCATGTCATCTAAAATAAGGGCAGTTTTATTTCTTCTTTTCCAACTTGGGTGCTTTTTATTTCTTTTTCTTGCTTTATAATTATGGGTATCTAGTACTGTGTTGCCTAAGAGTGATGAGAATGGACAGCCTTGCCTTTTTCCCAGTTCAGAAGTATTCAGTCATTCACCATTAAGTATGTTGTTTGCTGTAAGGTTTTTTGTAGGTGTTCTTTATGAGGTTGAAGAAGCTCCCCTCTTCCTAGTTTGCTGAGAGCCTTTTATTATGAATGGTGTTGAATTTTTTAAGGATGTTTTTCTGTGTCAGTTGATACATGATTTTTTTCCCCCTTTGGCTTGTCGATATAATGTGTTGCAGTGATTTCTTTTTCTTTCATAATGTGTCATCAGCCTCACATACCTGGAATACATGGTGCATGGTTGTGGTGCATTAGCTATTTTGGGTTCAATGTGTTAATATTTTGTTAAGGATTTTACAGTTAATTTCATGAGAGACATTGGTCCGTAGTTTTCTTAATTCTTTGATGTCCTTGTCTGGTTTTGGTATTGGTAACGACTGGTTTCATAAAATGGGTTGGGGGCTGTTCCCACTTCTTCCATTTCTAGAAAACATGTAAAATGACTGTTAATTCTTTTGTCAGTGTTTGGTAAAGTTCTGGGGATTATTTTTTTAAGAACTTTTCAATTACAAATTTGATTTCTTTAATAGGGTTACTATTATTCAGTTTATCTAGTTCATCTTGGCTGAGTTTTGATAGTTGTTTTCAAAGAATTGGCCCATTTTTTCTAAGTTGTGGAATTATGAACAAAAGTTGTTTGTGGTATTCTCTTTTTTAAAAATTTGAGGTAAAAGTCACATAATAATATCCACCATTTTATTTATTATTTATTTATTTATTTTTTAATGTTTATTTATTTTGAGAGAGAGAGAGAAAACACACTTGTGCCAGTGGGGAGGGGCAGAAAGAGGGTGTGGGGAGAGAGAGAGAGGCGGGGGAGGGGGGGAATCTCAAGCAGGCTCCATGCTATCAACATGGAGCCTGATTCGGACTCGGTATCATGAATCTTTTTTTTTTTTTAATTTTTTTTTTTAACGTTTTATTTATTTTTGAGACAGAGAGAGACAGAGCATGAAGGGAGGAGGGTCAGAGAGAGGGAGACACAGAATCTGAAAAAGGCTCCAGGCTCTGAGCTGTCAGCACAGAGCCCGACGCGGGGCTCGAACTCACGGACCGCGAGATCGTGACCTGAGCCGAAGTCGGCCGCTTAACCGACTGAGCCACCCAGGCGCCCCTCGGTATCATGAATCTTGAGATCACAACCTGAGCTGAAATCAAGAGTCAGACGCTTAATCCACTGAACCACCCAGGTGCCCCAAAACCCACCATTTTAAAAGTATGCATTTCAGTGGTTTTTTTTTTTAGTATAGTCACAGGATTTTGCAACCTCTGTCTAAAGCCAGAACATTTTCATTATCCCAGAAAGAATCCTGTTCCTCTTAAGCAGTAACTTTCATTGTCTTCTTTTCCTAGCCCCTGGCAACTAGTAATATATTTTCTGTATGGATTTGCCTGATTTGGACATTTCATATAAATGGAGTCATACAATTTTGATTGGTTTATTTCACACAGCATAATGGTTTCAAGGTTAGCCATGCTGTTACATATATCAGTACCTGCTCCTTGGCTCGTGGTCCCATCATTCTGACCTCTGCTTCCGTTATCTCTTCTTCTCTGACTCTGACTCTCCTGCCTCCCTCTTATAAAGAAAGACCCTTATAATTACATTGGGCCCACCCAGATTATCCAGGGTCATCTTCTCATTCTTAATTTAACATAATAACACATAATATTCTTGCCATATAAGGTAACATTCACAGGTTTCAAAGGTTAGGACATGGACACTTTGTGGGGGACCATTATTCTACCTACCGCATGGACATTAGATTTTTTGTTATTATCCACTGTTCCCTGAGCTTCTATTCTTTCTCTTTTTCTTTCTTTTTGGTTTTTTTTCAGTCCATTTTCTCTCTGTTGTTTAGATTGAGTATACTATTGATCTTGTCCTCAAGTTCACCAAATTTGTCCTCCATCATCTATTAGTATCTAATTAGTATCTAATAGGTACTATTAAGCCTATCCAGCACTTTTTTATTTTGGAAATTGCATATTTCAGTTGTACACATAATTTCCATTTGGTAGTTTTAAAAAAATAACTTCTGATTCTTTGCTAAAATTTTCTATTTTTTTTTATTTAGGGGAATTCTTAATTGCTTATCAAAGCATTTTTATGATGATTGCTTTAACATTTTTGTCGGATAACTCCAAATTGTGATTCACTTTGGTGTTGACATCAGTGTGGTTCTCTCTCTCATTCAAGTGTGTTTTTCCTGATTCTTGGTGTGCGATTAAAAAAAATGTTATCCTGGGCATTTAAGATACTAATATGAGGCAACTCTTGATCCTGTTTAAGTCTTCTGTTTTAGTAGGCAATAACTCCATTTAGGTTTAGTGTGTAGGTCCTGGCCTGCTTTTGTGCGATCATATGCTCTATCACTGAGCTATACCCCCTCTGGCCTGCTTTTGTGAGCTGGGTAATTCCTATGATAATTTAGTTTTCCGAGCTCTGCATTGCTATTCTCTTCTTTATTATTCTGGCATCACAGGAAGTCCTGCTTGATCTCTACAGGTGCTGCTTGCGCTGACTGGTGGGTGTGGGTCCCCATCTCTGCTACTGCTAAGGGCAGATTGCCTGGACATTGCCCCAGGTGGGGCAAATCTGGTCTGCTTCTGTCTGGGGCTGGGGTGGAGACCCTGCTGATGCTGATGCTGATGCTGTGATGACTGGGGATCCTCCACTGTCCGGGATAAGGACTGGGGAGTCTGTCTTCCCTCTAGGTCTCTGCTAAGCTTCCCCCTTCACAGTCTTTGGCCAAAAAGCAAGATTTTCTTGTTTGTCCGTCTGTGTTGGTGGTTCCCGGTTTCAGGCTGTTCTTGTGCCCAGCCATGGATATATGGGAGATAAAAGGAAAACCCAGTGAACTCACAGTGGTGCTTTTCCTCACATCCCAAGGCCCCTGTCTCATCCACCTTCTACTTTTAGGGTCATCTTATGATTGTCTGATGAATTCTTTCTAGGGTATTCAGTTGTATTCAGAAGAGAGGAGCAGGGAAATGTGACCCTGTGCCATCATACTCAGGAACTGGACCTGTAGCCTTTTGATTCTTCCTCCCTGCCAATATTTATTAGCAATTCTATGAAATGGTCAAAGGCCTTTGCTTTTATTGACACCCTGCTTTTTAGGGTGTCATCTGTTGTTGAGTGTAGGAATAAGATAAGGATTATTCTCTTGTTAAATTGTGTGGGAATTAGAAATGTCATGTTCTTATCTATTCATCTATTCATTTACTCATTTATGTATTTATCTTTAGGGAGCGGAGCAACGGCTGTGGTCCAGGCAGCGTACTGTGCCCCTAAAAAGGAGAAAGTGGCAATCAAACGGATAAACCTTGAGAAATGTCAGACTAGCATGGATGAACTCCTGGTATGCACATCTCCTATTTATTACTTGGAGAAATACACTTCTATGTATATTCGTGTTGGAGTGAAAAATAACCAGAAATTTTTTTATTGCTTTTCTAAAAAAAAAGGTTAAGTAATGTTTTTTGTAAATTTGTAAAATAAGTAAAATATTATAAATTAAGTACTGTTTATTGTAAAATTTATAAAAATCCAGGGAAACAAAAAAATTAGTTGTAATCCTCTCATTCTGAGATTAATACTTGCTATATAGTTTTTTAGACTGTGTACATTTAAATATCTTTGTATTTTTATGATAATGTAGCCATCTACTTGTTCTTTTCATTGAAAATTTAATCAAATTTTTCTGTGTCTATATGTATGAATTAAAATGCTTTTCAGTATGTGTGTGCTTTTCCATTACGTAGGTAGACCACATTTTATTTAACCTATTTCTGGTATTGGACAATTTTTTTCTCTTTTTTATTGTTATAAACCTTGCTTCCTTACTCGTCTCTTTCCTTAAACTAGTATCATGCTGGTATCATGCAGTTATGATACCTGGGTTGAGTGGAATATGCTTGAAAAGGCTTTGGCCTCCCAGGAACATGGTACCAGTCTGCATTCTGACCATTGATGCAAGGTGAGAGGCAGAATGACCCCCAGGCAGCATTGCCTTCTCCAAAGGCTGGGGAAAAAGAGAGGAAAGGGAGACTCAAGGAATAGTAGCTACAAGAGATGTTCTGTGGCATTAAAAGCTAGTCACACAGAGATTGTTTTGTACTTCTTTTATGAGCCCTGACACCCAGAGCTGTGGGTGTGTAGTCAGTTTCAGCAATAAGACATGAGGTAGATTTTCAAATCATTTCACTTTGTAAATCCTCAGTTTCTTTGGCTTAAAATGGAAATAATAATATCTGTTTTGTGTACTCCATGAGGTTTTTCTTGAGGATCAAATGACCCAGTACCTGAAAACTATAAACTGCCATGCAAATGTGAACTAATATTTGTCTAAGTATTTCTTAAGTATTTGTCTAAGATCATGTGCAGTTAGTGATAGAAAGGCAGGAGTTAGGCCTGGGATGATCTGCCAGTCCAGAAGTCTTTCCGCTCCCAGACTGGATTTAATTTCTGGTGTAACCTGCACTGAGTATTAGGGAAGACTGGAATAAAAGGAAAAGGGATAATAGAATTACACATTGAACTTTCAGCAGAGGAAACAGATGCATTTCTTTAGGAGTTGGTAATGTATGAGCAGAAGCTGAAAAAGAAAGTTTCTGGTATGATCTTGAGCCTCTCTGGTGAGAGAACATATACTTGAAGGGAGATGCTGCTGGAAATCCTACACAGTGATCTTGGATTTACGGATGTCCGCAACCCCTTAGAGCATCATTTGGATATTGAACTACAGTGATCATACAAAAAGGCTATAAATCGTAAACTAATTCTTTTGAGGAAACACAATTTTTTTTTTTTAACGTTAATTTTTGAGAGAGAGAGAGAGAGAGAGAGAGAGGGATAGCACCTGTGAGGGGCAGAGAGAGAGGGACAAAGGATCTGAAATGGGCTCTGACAGTGGCAAGCCTGATGCGGGACTCGAACTTACAAACTGTGACATCATGACCCGAGCTAACGTCAGACAGTTAGCTGACTGAACCACGCAGGTGCCCCTTGAGGAGAAACAAAATTTTTAACCTATATAATTAAGACTGGAATTTGAGAAGTCCAGTATGAATTTGTATCATTTGTCAGTTACTTTACATAACCCTTAAGGAGAGCTTACAGGTGAATGAAAGTCTTATTATTTATTACTTTATGATTAAAGAAATGAAAGTTCAAAGTTTAAATAACTTGACTGTGTTCATATGACCATAATAGCAAACATCTTTTCAGTGATAGGCACTTAAGTGTACTTTACCCTCCTAAATGCCTCCCATGAGACAGGTAGTAGCTACATTTTAGATGAAGGAAGTAAATCCTACGATAAGTGACAGGGTCCGGATTAAAAATCGGGTCTTTCTGAGTCAGGTCTATCGTTTTCTACTTCACATAATGCTAACTAATTATAATCTTGCTTCAAAAGTAGAACATCTGTTCTCAGATGTTTGACATCTTGAAAGAAATATTTGTGTATTAATACTAGGGCCTTACTTGTAGAGGAATGCGTGTTTGGCATACCTTGGTAAAAGAAATAGGTTAGCTTTTTCGCCATGGGTTTGCCTGCAGAACACATGTGTTGTGAAAACCACCACTTGAACCTAAACCAAAATGGGAAAAGACTCCTATCAACATCGTCGTCATTGGACACGTAGGTTCGGGCAAGTCTACCGCTACTGGTCATCTGATCTACAAACGTGGTGGGATTGACAAAAGAACTATCAAAAAATTTGAGAAGGAGGCTGCTGAGATGGGAAAGGGCTCCTTCAGGTATACCTGGGTCTTGGAGAAACAAAGCCAAACGTGAACGTGGTGTCACCATTGGTATCTCCCTGGGGAAATTTGAGACCAGCAAGTTCTACATGACCATCATTGATGCCCCGGGACTCAGAGACTTTATCAAAAATATGATTACAGGCACCTCTCAGGCGAATTTGAAGCAGGTATCTCCAAGAAGGGGCAGACCCGTGAGCATGCCCTTCTGGCTTACACACTGGGTGTAAAACAACTGATTGTCGGTGTAACAAAATGGATTCCACTGAGCCCCCCTACAGCCAGAAGAGATACAAGGAAATCGTTAAGGAAGTCAGCGGCTACATGAAGGAAATTGGCTACAACCCCGACACCGTAGCATTGGTGCCAATTTCTGGTCGGAATGGTGACAGCATGCTGGAACCAAGTGCTAACATGCCATTGGTTCAAGGGATGGAAAGTTAAGTGTAGAGTGGCAATGCCAGTGGAACCACGCTGCTTGGAACTCTGGATTGCGTTCTGCCACCTGCTCGTCCAACTGACAAGCCCTTGCGTCTGCCCCTCCAGGATGTCTACAAAATTGGTGGTATTGGTACTGTCCCTGTGGGTCGAGTGGAGACCGGTGTCCTTAAGGCAGGCCTGATGGTCACTTTTTCTCCAGTCAGTGTTACAACTGAAGTAAAGTCTGTTGAAATGCACCATGAAGCTTTGAGTGAGGCTCTTCCTGGGGACAATGTGGGCCTCAGTGACAAGAACGTATGTGTCAAAGATGTTCGTCGTGGCAGTGTGGCTGGTGACAGCAAAAATGACCCACCAATGGAAGCAGCCGGCCTCCCAGCTCTGGTGATTATCCTGAACCATCCAGGCCAGGTCAGTGCCGGATATGCACCTGTGCTGGACTGTCACACAGCTCACATCGCCCGCAAGTTCGCTGAGCTGAAGGAGAAGATGGACCGTCGTTCTGGAAAAAAGCTGGGAGATGGTCCTGAGTTCTTGAAATCTGGTGACGCTGCCATCGTTGATATGGTTCCTGGCACGCCCATGGGTGTCGAGAGCTTCTCTGACCTCCTCTGGGCTGTTCGCTGTTGGTGACATGAGACAGACAGTTGCTGGGGGTGTCATCAAAGCGGTGGACAAGAAGGCAGCTGGAGCTGGCAGAGTCACCAAGTCTTCCAGAAAGCTCAGAAGGCTAAATGAATATTATCCCCAATACCTGCCACCCCAGTCTTAATCAGTGGTGGAAGAACGGTCTCAAAACTGTTTGTATCCGTTGGCCATTTAAGTTGAATAGTAAACAACTGGTTAATGACAGCAATGCATCAGAAAACCTTCAGAAGGAAAGGAGAATGTTTTGTGGACCATTTGTTTTTTGTGTGTGTGGCAGTTTTAAGTTACTAGTTTTTAAAATCAGTACTTTTTAATGGAAACAATTTGGCCAAAAACCTGTCACAGAATTTTGAGACCCACTAAAACGAAAGTTTAATGAGAAAAAAAAAAAAAAAAAAAGAAATAGGTTAGATCTCCATCATTTTGCCCACCTAGTCCAATAAGCTTTAGATTGCAAATATAGTATTTATATATTTGACAAATAAGTGAAGGGAGGAGGAGAGTGACTTGTAGTAAAGCACATTTAAGATAATTGGCTTTTTGGGGGCGCAAACAAGTAAGGTCCCACCAAAGCCTGAAGAAACATCAGGAATATAAAGAATGTTGGATTTATGTGTGGTATTTGTAGGGTCAGGAGCTGAGATCTGAGTGAGAAGGGCTCTGTTTCTGAGAGTCGAGAAGCCCTTTAAGTTTATCTTAAAAATCTTTTAGATCAACATACCAAACTTTTGGTGTTGTGATTTTTAATTTTTTTTTTCAAAATTATCTTTACAATAACGTAGAAAGGGTGCTGACGCGAACCAGATTATAGGTGCGTATCCTGTGTGACAGTTATCAGTGAGGAGGCAGTATAGCGCTCCTTTCTTTTGTCAAAATGTTTTCGTGTCTGACAGCCTTTGCTAAGTGTGACTGGGAAATCAGCTGTCAAATTTTACTACATTTATTTTCTCCAGAGATACTATTCACAGGCACACTATGCAGTATTTTGAGCTTTTTCTCTTCTCTGGTAGATACTAGGACTAGATTCATTGGACAAACACTTGAGGGGAACATGAAGAGACTTAAAATGTCTTTCTATCTACTAGGAGGCTCACAATCCAGTTGAAGAGTTAAAACTCTTGGGATGCCTGGCTGGCTCAGTCGGTTAAGTGTCTGACTCTTGATCTCAGCACAGGTCTTGGTCATGAGTTCAAGTCCTGCAACGGGCTCCACCCTGGGCATGAAGCCTATTTGGGGGGAAAAAAAAAATTTAAGACTCTTGTGTCCTATACAAGGCCAAGCATGACAAACACCTGGAAGAGGTATTAAGTACTTTGAAGTAAGAGAGGAGGCATCCTCCTGGTTACAAAAATGGAGACCTCCGTGGAGATGTTTGTGTTCTGGCCCACCAGAGCTGGGGGATACTTTGAACAGAGATAGAAACCTTACCAGGCAGGGGTGTAGAGTTGGGAAAGAATTCTTTTTATGTATATATTCATAAATATTAATATCCCTGAAACGTTTTCATAAAATAATTTTAATTATGTGGGACACACACTGATTTTCTATTTCTTTTTTTGTTTCTAACATTACCTACTTAAGTTTGTTTCCTGGCCCATGTGGGTTGCAGCCCATAATTTGAGGTACACTGGGCCATACAAAGAGGTATTAAGATTCTAAATTCAGGCAGTGACAGTAATAATGGAAAGGAAGGCACATTCCCTAGACATTTTATTATTTTATTTTATTTATTTTTTAAAGTTTATTTATTTATTTTGAGAGAGAGAGAGAACAGCAGAGGGTCAGAGAGATCTGACCTAATTCCAAGCAGACTCCACACCGTCAGCGCAGAGCCTGATGCGGGACTCAAACTCAAGAACCACGAGATCGTGACCGGAGCCAAAACCAAGAGCTGGACGCTTAACCAACTGAGTCACCCAGGTGCCCCCTGCTCAGACATTCGATAGATGGAAGAATTGTTCGTTTCATATTGAGCATTCCATGAGGGCAGGGACTTTATTGTGTTCACTCTGTGTGAGTGAATAACTTAACATCACTTGGGGGCCTGACTGAATGGTGTGAAACAGATGAAAACTGCTTGCATTGGGGTAATCAGAAAATCACGAGTAAATGTTACAAATGGAGATGCGTTCCAGGAATGAAAAGTGATCGTTAAGCAATACTTGAGAGCTTCCGGTGGAGAACAAAGTCCACACAAAAGCTGTGGCAGCAGCAGGTAACGGACTGTCAAGAAAGCACTTTCAGTAGGGGGGTGGAATTCGTTTTGATGTGGAAGGGAGCCACTGGGAAAATTGAGTCAGGAATATAGCACTCTTGCAAAACACTTACATACATATTTTTCCTTTTGAACTGAAAGGGAAAAGGATAATTTCAGTGGGAGTTAAGATAAAGGAACCCTCCCTCCCACCCCTTAAAGGAACAGATGAGAAGGAAAGAAATCTTTAAGGCCCTTTCGGTTTTTGAATTTGATGGTTCTCTGATAGTCTCCTGTTAGAAGACCCTTTGTGAGCTGTCCCTGCCCACCTCCTCCCCCCCCCGCCACGCCCCAGAGTAAAGCTGAAAACCCTTAGTTTCAATTTAAGACATTGGACAGTTTGACCCCAACTCTGTGCATGAATTTTCACACTGTCTTACCTCCCTCATCCAGTGAGTCACCAAGTCCTATGGTTTATACTTCTTCAGCATAGCTCTTGACTCCTCCCTGTCTTTCCATTCATATTGCCACTTGTTTTTTTTTTTTAGCATTCTGTTTTTTAAAATTATTTTTGGATGTTTATTTTGAGAGGGAGAGAACATGTGCACAAGTCGGGGAAGGGCAGGGAGAGAGAATCCCAAGTAGGCTCCACATTGTCAGCCCAGAGCCTGATCCTGGCTTCAGTCTCATGAACCCGGATCTGAGCCGAGATCAAGAGCGGGACGCTCAACAGACTAAGCCACCCAGGCGCCCCTAAAACTATATTTTGAGATAGTTTTAAACTTCTAGAAGAGTTGCAAAAGAAGTACAGAAAGTTCCTGTATGCTGTTCACCCAGGTTCTCCTGACAGTAACATAACCACAGTGTAAATACCCAAACCGAGTAGTTATTTATAATTTTTCAGGCCACCATTGTCCCTCACCCAGGTCATAGCAACAGCCTTAGGCAGTATCATTGCCTCTAGTCTCGCCTTCCCACACTTATTTTCTAATTGTAGCTAGAGTGTTTTAATGAAATGGCATATATAGTTAAACCTCTGATGCCTTCCCTTTGCTGTTAAGATGAAGCCTGAATTCTTGAACACACTTACACAGTCCTTTATGATACGGTCCCAAGTAACTCAACAGTCAAACCTGTAAAACTTACAGGAAGCCATCCCTGATTATCACTCCTATTTTTTGATAATTGGCCTCCAGTGAAATCACGTAGTATCTAGCACTTCTCCTATCAAACTATTTATCATTGTGTGTTGTTAAATTAGTATTGGTCTGACTTCTTCACTCGACTGTAAGTTTCATGAGGGCTCACCCTCGTAGTCAAGCACCTAGCACTGCGCCTGGCACATTGGTAAATGTCCGTTGAAAGCATGAACTGCTTGCCTTAGACAGGTTTACTCATTGCATCCTAAAATGTGTCTTGGCGTATTTCATCTTTCGTGTGGTGTGTGCCTCTCACCTTCTACTGTTGTTTCCCTATATCCCACCGCACTAAACCTCGTTCTTACCTCCTTTGCAAGGACTTCTTGCCTACCTTCATTGTTCTTTCCGGAGGATTCTTGTAACGTGCTATCTTTACAACTTGCTGGCAATATATGTTGTCCTATATATTCCCTCTCATATGTACTTCTCATCTCCTTTAATCTTCATAGCACTATGTCAACAGGCAGGTGCTGACTTTAGTTTTACTTAGGTTTTAGTACAGAAGACTGTGTTGGTGACTTTGGAGGTTGGAAAAATGCGT